CAGGAATCCGACCAGTTACCAGGTCAAACAAAGTTTCATGAGGAGAGCTGCTAAGGGAATGCAAAAGAATATATTAGCAGAGAACAAAGTTCAAAAATTAAGTGCTCCTTTCTCTTCTTCAGATCCATCCGCAAAACACCGGTAACAAAAAAACCGGAGCACTACATCACATGAAATTACGACTCTGTAGGTCTCATCTTCATTCCTCGCCATACATGGTGCCACCCATAGCACTCAAATCCCAATCATCGATGTATACCATGGTTACTCAACCCAAGTTCTGGACTTTGTGAGGCATTCTTCCCTCATGCAAGCATTACCACCCATCATCCATCACCAATTGCTAATCAATTGTGCCGATTGACAACTATAACCTTTCTTTGACAAAGCCGGAACCCTCAGGCAAAATATCCCTTACTGTATTCCACACGGCAGTCCATCCTCAACACAACTTATGTGTCATTGAACTCTTAACATCCAAATGAGATACAGATACCGGTTACAAGCGGAACAGCATCCCACGATTTCAGATCAAGAAACATCCGTCGTTGGTGATAGCCCAATCACATCTACATAACAATATTGACAGACCCCCAAATAGAAATCTGACCCACACCATTCAGACTAACATGCCTTCTCAAGACCCAAGTTCTTGCAGGCAAGAGCAGCTGTAAACATGCAAAAGCAAAGTTCATTCGCAATTCACGCTCCATCAAAGCATTATACTACGAAGCTAGTTCACATCATGGTCTGATCACTGCATCAGGAATCTATTGGTGCCGTAGGAACCAATTTTCCCGAATAAAATAAGCACACGCTCATGGTTATAAATTGGGAGCAGAATGGATACACCTGAGAACCAAAAACAGGATTCCCCGACAAAAGATCACACCGACGAAGTTGCGACTCTTACTAAATCAGAACGTCTGAGACTTAGATTAAGACAAAACGAAGAACAGAGAATAAAATCTAGGAACAATCTAGAACAGAGAGACGAACCGAGATCACCCTTGGGCCGATCCGAGCGAGAATACGGAGGCGGGTGGCGGTGGACCTTGCCGGACTCGTAGTCGCCGCTGTCGGAGAGGCGGCCGCCGTCTCCTCCATCGCTGCCCGAAGGCCGCACAACGAGGCTACTGATGTGAGGCTGCTGAGTGGGCTGATCCCTCTCTCCCGACCCCATCTCTTTGTCCGCCCGATCACTCCAACTGATGCACATGTCCGATGAATAATAAAAAAAACCCTAGGGAGGTGGATTTTTGCAATAAAAGACTGATTAATTAGCGTGTAAATCGTGTTTTTTTTGTACACTTCACCGATTGGATTTGGGCCACATTGTTATGCGGAATTTGACGAAATAAATATTTTGGACTGCCCTTTTGGGTTTTCCCATCATTCTTAGGCTTGTGGAGGCGTGTTCGTGTCATAATACAAGCCCACTCGTATTCCCTTTTCTTTTTTTATGTAGTGTTTATACATCTTCGTTTTATTTCTACTTTTTTTTTCTATAACTAAAAGCAACGTATAAGTTATTATTAATGTACGATAAATCTCGAATCTAAATCTTTAAACCCAAAAAAGGAATTGAGAGAAGTGATTATGAATTTGATTAATCTAATTATCCTCTATCGAAAAGGAATTGAGAGACAGATCATGGGTTAATTATTTCTATTTCTTTTGAGTTTACTTGACGTAATACAAACTGCATTAATTTCCAAAGGCATGCGGTCCAAAATCCAAAGTTTTTTCTTTTTAAAACTTTGTTTTATTGCTTTTCTTCGTTGGTTGTGCGTATCAATTAACGAAATCAAGTATTTACGTACATAATGCCGAAATTGTAGTGAGAGAAACTAATAACATAACAATACAACCCCCATATATATATATATATATAGAGAGAGAGAGAGAGAGGGTATAATCAACATAAACACGAATTACATTAAGAAGTTTCCCTAAACTATAAATAAACCGTTAATTCATCATATCCCACTTGTCTTCATCTCACAAAGAACACCAAACGCACGCAGATTCCCCTCACGCCAAACGCAGATTTGTATATATCATCATGAGCAATCAGTCTTGGAAAACTCACTGATGTTTTTCTCGGCAGGCTGGCTGCTCATGATGTTATAACATTTCTCACAAATGTCTTGGAGTTCCACGTGGCAGAGTCTGATTGGTTCACCGGAAGCTGGCTCCGATTGCCTGGGCCCAGTAGTCGGCGCCATTGTCGCCGCCAACTTGGACGGTGCATGAGATCGGGACAAGGCATAGACCTCGGCTTCTAAGATCTTTCTTCGGTCCTTCGTTACTGTTTGGATTTTGGTTGTCGGAAGACGATGAAGCTCCTCTTCTCTTCATGCAGTGTTCATTCACAAGCTGCTGAATATTCAAATCAAAACTTAAATCACTCAAATCTCTACACATACAATATCTAACGCATAATTATTGACTTGAGGTGAAACTTTCTATTGGAATTATTATTATTATTTCTTTGTTAGTTTTAATTTCAAATGATGGTGGACATTACTTTGGGGAAAATGTAATCAATAATGTAGGGTTATATTATATTATATTAGTAAAAGAGTATTGAAATGAGGGAATTAAATTATTTTTAAACAGCCCAAAAAGAAACCATAAAAAAATTAGTTAATTAACTTTGTTGGTTTTAACAAAAGGTTATTAATATATGAAGAAAAGGCTGGTAACTTCATATCATCTTTTTAAGTTTTAACCCTCCTTTATCTTCACCTTTTTTTTTTCTTTTACTGTAAAGAAACAGTGGTAAAGGAAAAGGGATAACTTTTGGAAAATTAAACATTTTCAGATTTGGGTTCAATTGATCCAATAAAAAGTATAGTGTATAAATCGTGAAAAGAAACACTAAGACGTACCTGACCAGGGTCCTCAGGAAATATACAATTCATATCCCCTTGTACCTATATATACACACGCCGTCCAGAATTAGGGTCTGATTGATTAGCAGTTAATCATTAACCAATCAATTAATAGTACCAATGACAATATAAGTACTGCATTTTTTTTTAAATTACAGTATTTTTTTTATTTTTCTAGAATTTATTTAACCCTTCTTTTATCACATGCGCCTGTCTATTTCACATTGGCACATGCATATATATACATACACATACACACACATATATATATATATGTATGTATGTGTATATATAGATAAAAAAAAAAGTACGCATATATATATATTCTTATAAATATCTCTTACAGGTTGCTGGTGCTTCATATTCCCTGAGGCAGTGCCAAAGTATGGAAGACTTAGAGCCTGCAAGATTCCAAGATGTATAAATAAATAATCGGACCATATAATGATATATAATATACATATACACATACCGAGAACAAAACCATCTTATCTTTCATAACAACTCTCACAAACATTAAAGCTAATAAATAATTAATACCCAAGAATTTCCGTAACTAATGTACAAGTATGATAAATTCTAGAAGAAGATTGCATTATACGAATTTTTTAAGAGCTGATTCTTCTTTTTTTTTTTTAATTTGTAATCTTATAATCGAACTTTGGGATAATATTTTTAAAATGTGAAGAATTTTTTTTTTTCTAATATATAATTAAAATGGAATTTGGAATCAGGATAGTTTGGAGGGAAACATCACCTCGATTTGACTCTGAAGGAATCTAATGTATCCAATAGCCTCAGACAGGACAGAGGCCGTGTCAGTCTGCAAGAAGACCTAACACATCACTCCACTATCCAACATTAACCCAATTTAAAACGAGAATTAACGCGTCGTTAATTATTTAAATTAAAACCAATGCATACCATATTATAACAGCTAATTCGCAATTAATTACATGATAATTATATTATTACCTTGCCAAAGGGAGAAACTAGCTGATGAAGAGCTGCAATTCGGCCTCCGAGTTTCTCCTTCCTCACCTTTATTTTATTACCCAAAAACAAAGGTTAATAAATATATATATGTTAATGAATTGAAAACGTGTCTAATAATAGAAAGACCAGATATATAGTTTAGAGCGAAGAAATTATGTGAATAGGATAACAATTACGAGTCATGAGGTGAATTGATGGTTGATTATAATATCGGAGAATATAAAGACAATCCGATGTATTTATTTATATCACCAAGTATTAGAGAAATAATAATTACCTTTGGAATTATATATATATGAACATTACCATGTTTACTAGTCGCAATTAATTATCATGTCGTCGTATCTTTTTCAGGGCAATGGAAAGAGGGAAAGAATAATGAAGCGTGGAGAAAAGGACAGACATGAAAGACAAAACTGTTACCACCTCTCCCACAGATTATTCTGTGCCATTCTGTTTTGTTTGCATCTTGTTTCTCTGTGTGTCTGTGCTCTTGTAATTTGTTATGTTATGTTATGTCACAGAGAGAGAGAGAGAGAGAGAGAGAGAGAGAGAGAGAGAGAGAGAGAGAGATGTAACGATATGCTACCTTGAGGGTTGTTTGTGTTGAAGGAGATGAAGCTTGGAGCCTGGGTTTCTTATTGGCTGATCCCCCGGTTTCTGAGCTGTGACACTTCATTTTTACATTTACATCAAAAAGAGCAAAAAGGGTTAATTAATTAGTGTCTTTAATCAACTTAACTATGAATCAACTGATCTCAGTTTAGTTCATTCATTGATTTCGCTCTCCATTTCAACTATGTACCAAAATTGCGTAACACTAGCTTTTGTCTTGATATCGTTGGATTTGATGCTAATCAATACAGAAATCGAATCCGATCTAGAATCAAATAAACTATAATCGGAACTGATATAGATCTGAGGATAAAAGCCATACAAAGATATATTACTTGCAGCTCACCTCCAAAGATCGATCACGATGAACAGGGTTTCTTCCGTCGGATTTGTTAATACTCGAGAAATCCAACACGCTGTTGTTGCTACTGCTGCTGATGCTTGTTGCGGTGTTGGTTGTGACACAAGACTTGGAGTTAGGGGACATGACATAGCCGTTGTTGCTGTTGCTGTTGTTGTTGGTCATGTCGGCCAATTTGGAAGCTTGGTGGCTTAGTATTTGCTCTTCCCAATTCTCCAATCCCTTCCCTTTGAAAATCTGGTGATTGCTCACTTCCAATCTCTCCTCCTCTCCATTCATCAACCCACCCCTTCACAGATTTTTTTTAAAAAAAACTCAACACATAGTTAATTTGTAATACATGATTGTGTACACATATATACTTGCATGCAAATATATATTTTTTTACTTTTGGAAAAAATACTTGTAGCATATATAACACGATCTTAAATTTTGGGAAAGTGAAAAAAAAAGGTCTTAAATTTTGGGAAGATGGGCTTCTTGGGAACTACAAGTATAGTATAGTATAGTATATTAACAAGAACTTAACCAAGATTAGGTTAAAACAAACACATCCTCTTTTGGACAAAGCAAAGCCAACAGAACTAATAGAATTTCAATTATTAACACAAGTTCATTTGCTAAAAAAAGGTTCCCGTTTTAGGAGTACACACACACATATATATATATATATATGGACATAAATATAAATATGTGTGTCTGTGTGTATAGAGAGAGAGAGAGAGAAGAGAGAGAATTACAAAAGTAATTGGCTGAGGCTCCAAGACTCGGGAGGTAGATCATAATAATCAGGCCAAGAAGAGATGTTAGTGTAATGATTGTGTACTGAAGGAGAAGATGAAGACGAAGAGGAAGTAGGAGACGGCAGAAACTGCGGGAGGAGACTCGGAAGAG